CGGTACGTATATATTTACAATTGTTATATCCTCCTGATGAATTGACACCTTTATCATGATGACTTTCTTTACCTTTTTTTGTTGTTTTGAGCTAAAACCTATTTTGTCTGATAAAGGTATAGCTAACCCTGCTTGCTCTCAGTTTCCATTTGCACGGAATATCTTTCTTCATACTTTCTCTTTTATTCTGTGTGTCCTTAGAAGTCAGTTGAGTCTCTTGTAGGCAGCACGTAGCTGGGTCTTACTTTTTTAATACATTCAGCCATTTTGTCTTTTGCTGGAGATTTTAGTTCTCTTAAAATCCAAGTAAATATTGATAGGTAAGGACTTGACACTACTAATTTGTAGTCTGTTCTCTGATTGTTTTGTGGATGCTTTGTTTCCTTGTTTCTCTCTTGCTGTCCTCCCTTGTGATCTGATTTCTTTTCTGTAATGGTATGCTTTGAATTATTTCCATGTATGTTTTGTGCTTCTACTCTAGATTGTTGTTTTGTATTTACCATGAATCTTCCAAAAGCAATATGCTAATGATAGGATATTTCAAGCTGATAACAACTGAATTTTGATACATACAACAGCTGTACATGTGTATTCCCCTTCTCTACACATTTTAATATTTTGATGTCAAAATATACATCATTTTGCAATTTGTATCCCTAATTTGGGCTATAAGTTTTTTGGGGTTTTTTTTTTTTTTTTTTGAGACGGAGTTTCGCTCTTGTTACCCAGGCTGGAGTGCAATGGCGCGATCTCGGCTCACCGCAACCTCCGCCTCCTGCCTCAGCCTCCTGAGTAGCTGGGATTACAGGCACGCACCACCATGCCCAGCTAATTTTTTGTATTTTTAGTAGAGACGGGGTTTCACCATGTTGACCAGGATGGTCTCGATCTCTTGACCTTGTGATCCACCCGCCTCGGCCTCCCAAAGTGCTGGGATTACAGGCTTGAGCCACCGCGCCCGGCCTTTGGGGTTTTTTTGTTTGTTTTGAGACAGAGTCTCACTCCATCACTCAGGCTGGAGTACAGTGGTGTAGTCTTGGATCACTGCAACTACCACCTCCCAGTTCAAGCAATTCTTGTGTCTCAGCCTCCTGAGTAGCTGGGACCACAGGTACACACCACCACCCCTGGCTAATTTTTGTATTTTTGGTAAAGACAGGGTTTTGCCATGTTGGCCAGGCTGGTCTGAAACTTCTTGTCCCAAGTTACCTGCCCACCTCAACCTCCCAAAGCACTTGCAATATGCTTTGGCATAAGCCACCGTGCCCAGCCTTCAGCTATAATTTTAATAGCCTCATATTAGAGATAAAATTATTTTACAGACCACTATTGCAGTTTAGATTTTTCTGAGTGTGATTCTATATCATTTATAGCATTGTTTTTTGTGTTTTTACATATTTTATTAATTAGCAGCCTTTTATATCAGCTTAGAGAACTCCATTTAGCAATTTCAATTGGCTGGTTTAGTGCTGATGAACTCTGTTAGCTTTTGCTTGGGAAAGTTTTTATTTCTTTCCCATTTCTGAAGTATAGCTTTTTTGATTGGTAGTTATTTTCCTTCAGCACTTTAAATATATCATCTCATTTCATCCTGCCCTACAGGGTTTTTGCTGAGAATCCTCTAGTAGCCATATTGCAAGTTCTTTGTATGTAATAAGTTTCTTATTTCTTGCTGCTCTCAGAATTTTTGTCTTTGATTTTTGATAGTTTATTATGTGTGTTGGTGAACTCCTCTTTGGGCTGAATTTTTTGTACAAGTCTCCAGATGAAACTTGCTATTTAATTTTTCATTTCGGTTGCCTTCTCCATCTCCAGGATTTCCATTGTTTTTGTTGCAGTTTCTATGTCTCTGTCAAATTTCTCATTTTGTTCGTATATTGTGTTTCAGATTTCATTTAACTTTTTATTTTGTATATTCTTGTAGTTTGCTGAACTTCCTTAAGAGGATTGTTGTGTATTATTTGTCAGTCATTCCATAGATGTACATTTCTTTGGGGTTCATTATTATAGCTTTATTAGTTTGTTTTGGTGATATCATGATTCCCGTAATTCTTCTTTTTTGAGACAGAATCTCACTCTGTCATTAGTGGCACAATCTGAGCTCACTGTAACTTCCACCTCCCGGGTTCAAGCAATTTTTCTGCCTCAGCGTCCTGAGTAGCTGGGTCTACAGCTGTGTGCCATCATGCCCTGCTAATTTTTAATATTTTTAGTAGAGAGGGGTTTCACCATGTTGGCCAGGATGGTCTCGATCTCTTGACCTTGTGATCTGCCCACCTCAGCCTCCCAAAGTACTGGGATTACAGGTGTGAGCCACCGCACCCAGCCTCCATAATCCTCATGTCCTTGTATTGATGTCTGTGCATTTCAGGAGACAGCTACCTCTTCTGTCTTTTAGAGGTGTTCTTTAGTATAGATTAAACTTCATTATTTACTTTAGTCTATGATTCTGGATAAGCCAGCTGATATCAACCTCAAGGAAGCAGAGCTTGCTGTCATTTTCTTTAGTTCGCTGGGTCTCTGCCTTTGCTCTGCGTTTGGGTGGGGCTGCTCGCTGAGCTTCACCATCCAGCAGGACCACCAGTTGGGCTCTGCAGTCAAGTGGAGCTACTGGCTGGGAACTGTGATTGCCTCTGGCAGGATCACAAAGCGTATTTCTTTGCTGGGCAGTATTGCTATTTAGGTTATGCAGTTGGGCAGGTCTGCAGGCCAGACTCTAGGTTTACATGGATCACTGTTCTAGACAGACAGGTCCAGATGTTATGCTCCATAGAAATACACACTGGTAGGAATCTCCTTGCCTGAGCTGGACCCTGGGGTGGGCTCTGACACTGGGTGGAGCCATTGTTTGGAGCTGCTCTTTGGACTTCAGGGTTTGGGCAAATCTAGCCTCTGTTCTCTGCAAAAAATGCCCTGTGGTGAGCATCTCTTTTCCTGGGCAGGGCCCTGGAGTGGGCTCTGAGGCTGGGTATAGAGGCTGGCTTTCTAGGGACTCAAGCCAGGTTGAACTTCTTATTCAGCTTCTGGGAGCAGCCAACTCAGCTTTGAAGGTAAGGTAGATCATTAGCTGGTCTCTCTGATCAGGTGCCACTGCTGGCAGGAACACAGAGCTACCATCCAGATCTGCACGCTAGTCACTGCAAGCTCTACCTGCTTGATTTGTTTCACACCAGGGGATCTTGTTCTGTTGTTACTCCAATATTCCCTTTGAGGCAAGACAGTAGTAGTGGGCTTCCTTCAAAGCACCACACAATGCTAGGGAAGCTAGCATTCTGTCTACTTTCAGTTCTCTTTTCCTCTGTAGAAAATGTGGGCTTAGGAGAATCCCCCTGTGCCTCCTTGTTGACTTGGAGGAGTGATATGGTCAAGGTGAAACCATGTCTCGTACTCTTCTAATGTAGTTTTTATGTGGTTCTTTGTTCCATTAGATGTTTCAGTCTCATTCTCAAGTTTTGGGGTCTTCACAAAGATGTTCTTTTCTGTGAATAATTGTTAGTTGAATTTTCTGTGGGTGGGGAATGAAACCTGGAAATTGCTGTTCTACCATCTTGCTGACCTCACCCTCTATAAAGCTTTAAACTGTGCCTGTCACATTGTGGGTGCTATATTTGTTAGCTCTTGCGACTATTGATGATGAAAATGATGTTAAAACTAGGGGCTTTTACCTAGATGAAAACAGTGTCATCCACAAAGAGAAGGACTTACAGGGATGCCTACCAACAAAACTGAAATTTGCTCAGCTAAGTTTTCATATTTGTTTAGGTACTTGACTGATTGCCTAAAGCTCTTCAGCATTGAACACTGTGAAATTATTTGGGCCTTGCAGATTTTCAAGGCAGGTGCATCACATTATCGTGTGGCCATAAGAAGACCTTAGTCGTCATCTCATGGAACGTCTGGTTTGGAGCTTTATGGCTTTCTGGTGATAAGCAATGACTGAAATGTTTCTCCAGAAACCAAAGAAAATAAATTACAACATAATGTTATTTGATAGAAATAGATTTTTACTTGTAGAATAGCTAATATAAAGTCATCTTTCCTAATAATAATTCTGTATCTAATGAGAATCAGCTGTCTATTGAGAACATTCCTGACTCTTGACGACCTTATCATTAGTGTAGGGAAGAAGTTCACTTCTGTATTTTGTACAGGCCTTCATTCATAATTAGAGTAATTAAGGTGGGGTGAAGAAAGAGCCCAGGATACAGTGCTGTTTTACATAGTTCAGAATCACATCTGATCTGTCAAGAGATGTTGCTGCCATCTTACCACTTGAGATTCAGTGTCCACTGAATTAGAAGCTCAGGTTCTCCTAATCAGCTCTCATCCATAAGAGCTCAAAGCCAATAACAATTCAAATAATTCTTGCCAGCCTTTTGCAAAAGGTGGTATATAATTGCTGGTGGAAAGGATTCACCTCCATGCTCCTTCTATAAAATGTGAACAATGAAACCCAGAGATGTAATATAGTATAAGGGAGCTAGCATAAATTTTTGACAGAATGTTCAGCAAACTAATAACTGTACATACAAAGACATATTTGCCTTTTTGAAAAGTTGTGTAGAAAATGTTTGAGTATACTCACATTTGATTATGGCCCAAAGAAGGATTCTATTTTAAATGAAAGCTAAAAGGATTGATCAAGGTAAGAATCTGTTAGTAACAACTAGTTGAAGGCTTTACTTTTGTTCTTTATTTGCTTTTAGCTTAGTAATTAGATGAACTTTTGCTGAGCCCCCTGGATGTCAGACTTGTAGACTAGTGAACTGGGGGTTGAATGGGAGCTGAAGGGTAGATCATTAGATCAGCCTGTGAGCATGTGGGCGTGTGGGGCCGGAGGCATGTGTGCATCTCAAGGCTGAATAGGGTGGTTAAGCAGTGGAGGGCTCCTTCACTAGCCAGTCTAGGAAGAATGCTATTCTACAAGAATAATGATTGTCCCACCAAATCACCTCTTTCAGCATTGAACAGTATGAAATAACTTCTGTCTTTTCGTCTAGACCTCTCCTCTTCCAAACAAGTGAACATGTAGCCAATAGTCCTGCACTGGGGGATGTGATTCCGTTCAGCATCATTATTCAGTTTTTGTTCACGAGAGCACCTGCTGAGCTGAAATCTCCTTTCCAGGTAATAAGTAAAGTCAAACCAGATCTGTTTTGTGACTCTTCCCATTACCTTTGTGAATCCGGAGCCCCCACTCACTGAATGGTTCCTGGCCCTCCGCTGCTTTGTTTAGTCGTTGATGTCTATCTTTGACAGTGAATAGATATTAGAAAAGAAAAAGTCCCACTGCCCAGTGTCTTCTTTCTCAGCAGTGCAAAAAATTACCTGATGCATCCAGAATTTGCCTTTAATAATGATACAAGTAAATTATGTTCATAAAGAATTTTTGATGGTAGCCCCATTTTTTTTTTTTTTTTTTTTTTTTTACTGACCCACCATCACCTGGCAAATCTAGAAGGCTCCTTGTAGTCAGGAAGGTACACCGAGGCCTGTGCCCCCTTCCCACTTCCCTCAGGCAGGTGTTGGGCAGTTTCACCTTGGGAATCCTTGAGAGTGCTTTTTGTACCAGAACTTGCTGCCATTTACTGAAGAATGCTTATGCACTTTTCTCTTCTCTAATTGTGTTTCAACCCTGCAGAGGGCAGAGTGGTCCCACGCACGCTTCTCTCAGTGGCTAGATGACCACCCATCTGAAAAGGACAGGCTCCTCCTCATCAGGTAAAGCCAGATGCTCCAGAGGTACCCATCTGGGTTGAAAGCCCAGGGAGGGTGGGGATGCAGGAGAGGATGAAGCAGTGCCTGGGGGCATGGACATGTGACTGCACCTTCTGGTGGCAGGCCACCTCACTGCCCAGGCACAGGTGATGAACAGCCAGCAGTTGGAACACAACATCTTTCGCTTTCTTTCACTTCCAAACCTTCATATCCCAGATGTGCAATCCTGTGTCCCATGCACCCCTAAGGACCCTGCATTTCTACCTTTGAAAGTCATCATCTGCTTGAAAAGTCTTGCCCTAGTTCCGCATCTTTTACTTTTTTCATATGCTGCAGTTACTGAATTGGTGGAACACAGATGTGAGTGAATTTTAAAAATACTCAAGTGCAAAACAGTTCTTAGGAAACGAGAACAACCCAGCAGCCACTTGGATGCCATGGACCTCCAGTAGTGCCCCATGAATGCATTTACATACATACGCATGTGCCTGCGCACACACTTGCACATGCCCCCATGTACCCCAACCATGCCCTGGGTGCGGTGCTTTAACTGTCATATATGACTTGTTAAGCAACACTCTTCCCTGTAATTGCTCTTACCAACACCGGAGACCTTCCAGCCACCAAACATTCCCGTTTTTACCACTCTGTAGCTTTAGCTAGACTTGGCCGCCATTTCCTTCTTTAAACTCAAACTGGGACTCAGCACATTTTTACTGATGCTAAGCCCACATTTGATTGGCATGGTAGGCCCTGGGCCAGGAACTGAGGATACACAGTAAGCTGAGGTGTGGCCCTGTCCTCTCAGAGCTAGCGTTACACCACAGCCATCTTTCGGTTCTAACATCTGTTTTTTTTTTTTCTATTTCATTTGCTGAATTTTTTTCTTCTAGCCATTCCTTAAATGCTATCATTTCCCATATTTTGTTCTTCTCATCCTGCCTCTGCCTTGATCCCCAGGTGGGCTTGTCCAGACCTGTGCCTTTAGTGCCCCTTGTATACTGAAGAGCCCCCAGGTCTGTGACTGCCTATTGCATGGGGTCTTGGCCCAGTAAACTTGCTATCTTATGTCACCACCCACAGAAATCCCAACCCCAAAATGGTCAAAATAATCTTTTCTATTAAACCTTCTCATTCTTTTATCCCTGTCTTGGTTGGGAGGTCAAAGTCACCTACCTAGCCAAGCTAGAAAACCTTTATATCGTCATTCAACTCCTCTGTTAACCTTATTCCTCAAAACCACTCCATTGTGCCTCTCTAAAATAGCTCTTGAAGTCATTCTCAACTCTCCCAGGGGATCCCAATTCTGTTGGTCTGGGCCCACTGCACCCAGTGATCCTTTGTTGCCTCAGTACCAGGTGATGAGTTTTCTAAAGCTAGAGTGGCGCTGACATGATGAGGTGGTTCTAAACCATGTGTGTTAACAGAATCATTTATACAGCTTGGAACATTCCTACTGCCCAAGCCTCTCACCCTTGCCTACCTCAGAATCTCTGGGGTAGGCCTGGAATCAGGATTTGTGTATAGCTCCCCAAGAAGGTCCAGGGTGTAGCCAAGGGCATGTACCCCTGCCATAGTGGGTCATATTCCATTGCAGATGAAAGACTGCTGAGGAAGCTTTGAGAGGTCAGCAGGAAATACCAGCTTGTCAGCTTTGTTTTCAGAAGTGACCCTGAGCCCTCAAGCTTGGTGCCCAGATCCTACATAAGCCATTGGCCCTCTGGGCCTATGTGTGGATAAACATTAGCTCGGACTGTGCTCCTTTTCCTTGCTTATCTGTTACTCAGCTGTAAGCATCTGACATAGAAATGGGAGAGGTTGCCAGCCCTGTGAATGTTCCTGGTAAAATCTGCCCTCTGGCAAGGCTTTGGATTTGGGTGAGGAATTTGGGCCTGGGGCTAACTCAGGGATTTGCAATGTCTGTGTGGATTATTTTTCCTGAGTCCCAAAGATTCACTCAGCTGCAACACACTTGGTAATATAAAAAGAGGATTCAGTTAATTGAACAGGGTTCATTTTGTCATCTTAACAAGTTGGTCATTTTTGTGGTCTTAACAAGTTGGAATGAGTTCATCCAAAACAGTTGTCCTGCTGTGGGTACATCACAAATCTGTTTTCTTTTGCTTCTCTTTAAAAATGTCTCCTGAGTGACTTCATCAGCAGTGCTGTTGCTAAGCCTATATTTAGCAACTGAAAATCATGCTCAGAAATACTGTCATGCTTTTTAAAAAAGGCATACCCATCCCTCCACACATGGCTGATTTCAGAACCTTCATGCCCTTAGCAAAAAATTGAGTTCTTCTTCAAGGATTAAAAAAAATACCGTACTCCTGCTGCATCGCAGGCTTTGGCAAGGAGGGGCCTTTGTCCTAGAGAATGTTCTTTCTTATGTATTATTGCAAAGCAGTTTTGTTCCTACATACTGAAGCATCACTGGATGAACTTCTTTCCCCTGTAGACAAACTGAGGGTGAGTATTGCTCTTTAAATGTCAGTAAATTTGTTTTAGCTTCTGGGGCAAACCTTGTTGTATACTTATGCTGTTCCTCCCAGCATAATATGTTAGGTTGTCATAACATAGGGCAAGTTGAGGATAGTGTAACTACTGCTGCTGAATGGCAAATAGTCAACTCTCCTGCCTGCCTTTTTTCTTCTAACACCAGATGCTTTCTGAAGCTTGAAATGAATACTAGTCAAGTTCATTTGAAAATCAGAGTAATGACTTACTCATGGGGCCAAGTAGTGTAAGTGAGGGCAGTTGTATGTACTCAACCCTATCAGGCAGGTGCTCCAGACACGTGTGCCCCCTTGGATGCAGAGGCAGCGGCCTGGCTCATGCCTGTGGGTCTGTAAGTGTTGAATGTGTATTCAATAGAGTTTCTAATGCAAAGATTTCTCAAGCTCTGTAACAGCAGTGGAATTGGCCTCAAATCCATTTACTCTGGCTATTTGCTGTGGAGCAGCATCCGTTCTTATGGTCCTCTTTGAGTAGGTGTACACTTTAATGATGTCAAAAATGTTCACAAACCTTATTAGCCTAGTGGAGCTTTTAGCTACATTATCAGAGAATGTTTGGTGCCATGGATCCCTTCCCCTTTCGCCATAGTCCAGGGCCCACAAGCTGGAAGCCATTCCCTCGGCCCCTCTGTATTTCTGCAGAACTCCCAGATCTCCACTGATGGAGGGTAATGTTTCTCCTCCTGGTACCCCTTTGTCACTAGCTACCTATCAGTGCTGGGAACAGAGTGCCTGAGATAGGACCAAGAGGGAGGATGGAACCAGGGAAAAGCCTGGGGTTAACTGCTTATTGAGGCATGTAGTGTATCTTTATCATTTTTGCATTTCAGTACTTAACAAAAATCAGTGCTGTTTTCTATGAAAACCTCCACTTGGCTAGTTTTAGTCACCTTGAGCAGTGTTGCCAAGTTACCACAGACCATTCCTCTACTAATCATGTTTTGTTTTTTTCCCAATAAGGATAAACAAAATAATCAACTTCTTTTGGTTTCAAACCAGAGTTAAGACTTACATAATGCTTGGCCCGACTTCCAAGAAAGCTAATGTTTTGCTTAAGCAAATAAAGTAATTTAATAAGTAGTCGAAAATCTTGCTCTGATTTCATGTAGGAGGGCAGCTTAATCTTTTTTTCCCCATACTTCCGATGATGTTTTTGATGACTACTCAGAAATCTAACCAAACCCATTTCTGATCTTTCTTCTACATATTGTGTAACTTACGTGATGTCTTGTCTTTAAATGACAACGAAACTAAGTTGATTTTTGTCCATCAAATACCTCTAATCCATTCACTATGAAATGATTATAGTTCCTGTCAATTTAAACACTTCTTAGACACCGATACATACACCTCACTGTCTTAAAGACAGATGAGCCCTTGGGGATTTCTCTACTGTATATGAATTATATGAAATCTTGGACTACATTTGGGGAGTGGAGACAGTTTCCCAGGATGGCACACCAACTAGAAGCATATTACTAAAAGAAGCAAGTTTTTTTCATAGCCAAGTGTCTCCATTAAGGGTCAGCTCTGACTTGAACTAAGGCATCTCACAAAACATTGTTCTCTAAGAGCACTAAATCCCACCTTGCATGCCAATTAAGAGTGATGCGTTAGCTGGGATTGAAACTGAGTATGTGAGCTGAGTAATGGTATTAAATTACATCTTAAACAGCTACGCTTTTTCGATAAGGGCTTGCCCATCCCTCCACATACCTGATTTAAAGTACTCCTGCCCTGACCAGAGCATGAGTCAGCCTTCAGGGATTCCAAAATGCTGGATCCTGCTAAGTCAAGGCTGTTGATAAACAAGTTAGATCGTTCCACAAACTTGTGTGACTCCAAGGTGGTTTCCATTCTTTCCTGCTGCCTGGAGTTAAGAAAGGCATTTCTTGAAAGGGAGCATTTGAAGCTGAGTCCTAGAATATAAAGAGCTGTTTAGGAAAGAAAGCAAGGAAGGGTATTCTAAGGATAAGGAAGATAATGTGCAAAGGGCTAAGAGAATGTGGCTCCTTAACTGAAACATTCAGTATGGCCAAAGATAAACAGGCCCTTTGCCACCCCATACTTTGTTAGGCAGAGACACCTTTATTTCATAGTAACACATGAACAAACAGCCTTGGTCTTTCCCTAGGTGGGCAGTGATGTTGCACTATACAAATGAGGCGAATATGCTTTGCATATTACTTGGTAACACAAAAATGGAAACTAATGATTTGAAGGTGTTTTTGGCCACATCAAGTTATCTAAAACCCAGAAGTAGCACAGAAGGGGCTGGAAGCAGCTTGATGATGAAGCTAGTTAGGTCACATCTGGGCACCGACCAGAGCATGGAGCCAGCCTTCGGGGATTCCAAAATGCTGGATCCTGCATAGTCAAGGATGTTGATACACGTCAGACCTTTCCATATTTCCTATAAAGAATAGGGCATGGCAAGTGCTTGATACTTCAGGGAGAGCTCTCTTGCTGTAATATGGAAGACCATAACAGGGGAGAAACAGCACCAGGATGATCACTACCTGAGAGGCTACAGCAATCCTTAGGGCACAAGATAACAAGGGTTCAAACTGAAGCAAAGGGAAGAGGAGGGACTGGATGTGGAAATGTGTGTAGTAAATTAATAGGATTTGGTAAACGCTTAGATGTAGGAGGGGAAAAGAGAGACCTTAAGATGGTGCCCTTTGTTGACATAAGGGAAGGCGGGTAGAACGCTGCCCCAAGTTTTTGACAAGTAAGTTTGAGGGCTACCTGGAAGCAAGTCAGATAAAACTGTCCAGAGGACAGGAAGAAGCAGAGATCAGGAGGGGAAGGTCAGGGCTGGAACTTAAGAGATGTGAAATCCTATTACGTGTAACAGTGGTTGATGGGATGGAAGGGCATTACAAACTGATCAGTGATAGCCAGACTCTGGGTAAGTGTATTTCCCACAATTCAATGAAAAACCTTCAACAAACCCAATTGACAGCAAAAAGAAAACCACTTAAAAATTAAGTGCCTATTGTGTGAGCTGAGTAATGGTATTAACTTACATCTTTTTACAAATGCTCCAGTCTTACTGAAATTTTGAAGAAAAGTATGGCAAAAATTTGTGTACCTGGTATTTAAATAGACCATTAATTAAAAATTAGCAATCTCATATCCATTCTTTTTAGCTCCACTTTAAACAGATGATCTGGTTCAGGGACTAACATACTTTTTCTATAAAAGAAGGACCAGATACATTTCATAATTTGCAGGTCATATGATCTCTGCCTCAACTGTTCAACTCTGCCATTGTATGAAAGCAGCCACAGCCAATACATAAATGAACAAGCATCAGGCTAGACTCAGCCTGCAGGCAGTGTGCTAACCTCCAACCTAATCCATGAGAACAATCATAATCATAAATAATGGTATGGTACTACATACCCTTAATTCAACTACTTCCCAATCATATATTTTGCCAGTAATTACAGCCCAAGAGCACTTATTCTAGTTGTTGGGTGTTCATAGTTCAGTACAACAACAGGAACATAATGCACCTACTGATGTTACCAAGTGTGCCAAAGGAACACATCCCCCTGTACTGAGTTTGCCTTTGAGAGGTGCAGGATGCCCCTTGTGAGCTCTGGGAGTAGGCACAAGTGCCCATTCCGTTTAAGGTGTCTTCAGTAGGGAAGCAGGGAAAAGGGAATGAAAACATACTTACACAGCCAGAGGGCTCTGAGTACATGACTAGACCTAACAGTAACCAGTAAACGTATGAAGGCTGCTGGTCACTTGGCTTGTGAAAATGAGCATAAAAGTTCCAGAAATGAGCTTATTTCTAATTTTCATATATTGGTATCCCCTAATCTGTTTGTGATTTATGTAATATTTTGACATTGTTTTCCTTTTGGTTTTCAGGGGAGCCCTGGAAGCTTACGTTCAATCAGTGAGAAGTAGAGAAGGCAAAGAATTTGCACCAGTTTATCCCATAATGGTTCAGCTGCTTCAAAAAGCTATGTCTGCTCTTCAGTAACAGTATGAAATCTTTGTTCATCTCCACTTTGTGCTAACCCATTCATAGTTGGCAGTTAACACATACTCCAAAAGATAGCTACTGTCCATTGTTTTAAGAATGTAATTGATTGTTCTGTATTTCCTATTGATCTTTATTTACCTCTTTAGCACTTTAGCATAAAATTGTCATCATCACATCCTTTTAATTTCATGGACCTGATTTTTCCAGAAAGTTTTCTGCTTTCAGATTTTTGTGCAAGGCTAAAATTTCTTTCCCATCCATAACTGAGTCCTCTTATGCGTACATATACCCAAAGTCCCCACTTCCTTTAAAAGGATATGATCAAGTTATATACTCTGCTTCCCCCAGCCCTGCCTTCTTCACTAAATAAGCACGTAGCTCAGTGGCTTCCAAACTTAGCTGCATGTTCATATCATCAGGGGAGTTTTTAAAAATTCTGATGCTCAACTTGCACTCCATATTAATTAACATGTGAGTGGGAGCCTAACACCAGTATCAAAAAAAAAAAAATCCCCAAAGTGATGCCAATAGACAACAAAGTTTAGGAACCACTGGCACATCTCAAAGCTAAGATCCAGGGTTAAACAGCCTTAAAATGTCATACTGGATCTTTAAATAAAGGAAGGCTTTCGTTATACTTTGTCATGGTATTAAAAGCAGACCTTTGGGGCTGTTTAACCTTGTAACAAAGATGCCACGTGAAAAGTAAACATTTTTATTCTATAGCGAAATAGTAGGTAATCTAAGGCCTTATTTTCTGATTGACTGCTCTTGTTCCACTATTAAGTTTTAATTTTTGAAATCCCATCATCACTCTTAATTAGCAGTGTTAGAAACCCGCCTTGTTTTCCATCTCCTGAATCTGAGAACTCATAAAATTCAGCCAATTAATCAGCAGATGTCAGAGATAAGCAATTTTTTTTCAATTTATTTGAAATAATATACAAGAATATAGTGTGCAAAATTTAGGGGCAACATCATGAAGTGTAATAATGAACTGAAATCAATTTTACAGCTGTGATTCCTAACCAGAAACACCACTTGGTAAGTAACATGAAAAGCCATGATTGTAGCTCAGAGCAAAAGCAGCTGTATTGCCAATGTATTTGCTCTAATTTTAGACAGTTGGAGGAAAATTAAAGTGCAAGTGTTGCACTGCAATAAGTGCAAAGTCTGCCCCCACCATAAAGATTATGATGACAAAATATATTTAAGATACATGGCTGAGGAGATATAGAACACAAAGTTAAAAAATACAATGGTGTTGACTGTTAATAGCACCATTACAGTGACTATATCCCAATGCTATTAACTAACTTTACCTTGGCCTGGGCTAGGTCTGGGTTGGAAATAATGGATGGCTGCTGCCACCTGGTGCATCAACTCAGCATGCCATGGTAACTGCAGCACGTGGCTCTTAGGCTAGGGCACCAACCCCAGCCACCTGCCACATGTTCTGGTAGCCTCTTGGCACGGACCAGACTAGGAGAGCCTACGTTTGGCACAGATGCTGAGCCATGTGGTGGTTACTTGAGGAAAGGCCGACTCCCAGCTTCTGCTTCATTCCATCATGTGTTCAATACAGATTAATAAGCAGTAAGGAGCCAATGTATAAACAGCAGTTACATATTTTTTTAAATTCCCCTTTCGTACAATTTAAAATAAAACAGGTATACACTTCTCCTCTCTTTCTACTGTACTTTAGCACCACAGGATATCAATTTTCAAGCCTATATTACCTGATAGACATATATGAAATTTGGAAGAAAAATAAGGCAATTTGGTTTACAATGTTGATAGTTTTAGCTTACTTAATGCTCTAATGGAGAAAGCAAATCCTCACTCATATTATTAAATCATTTCTAGACTCAATGCTATCAGTATCTTGTGGTCACACGAATTCTGGACAAATGGTGAGACCTTGATCTTCTGACATCTTTCCATCAAGAGTCAATGCATATGCAAATATAGACTTAAGAATGTAAGCATCCTGGTTTAATGTTGCTGTGAGCCCTGTGGAAATAAAATTAAACTCAGTGAATGTTTACAAATCAATACACAGTAGTCCTACATGTGAAAGCTAAGATAATGTATAAGATGTTTATAAATTTACTATTAGAAAATACTGCTTTCTTAAAGGTGATTTAAAAAAGCAGGCTGATAGCTGATGGCTCAAGTATCCAGAAAACATATGCAATGATAAGACATTGACTAGGATGAGCAGAAAAAGGGATACAGGCAAAGTCCTACCACATGAAAGTCTAAATTAACCAAGAACTTCCAAAACTCAGTTCAGCTTCCCTCTCATCTGACTACTGATCACTATTTTTAAAGTAACTCTTAAAACATTTAAACAGATATGACCTACATGTTACTAAGAAACAGGCACATGTACACAGAGTGAATTTAAAACATCTTTGGCTAGCCTCCTACTATATAAACTATTGATATCTTCCCTTCATTTTTAGATAATACTTCAAATTGACCCCATTCTATCACATGCAGTTTTCTTGCAATTAATCTGAAAATGCTGAAACTAAAAGATGCTAGTTTACTAATGGAAAAGTAATAAGAAATAAGTCTATCCAAGATAGCTTATTATACAGACTTGTTTGCCACCGTTCCTGGGCCTATTTCTTCTGCTTGAAATTTTTTTCAATCTAGAAATTGTGTGCCAATGGCAGAAGTCCCCATGAAGGGTAGCTAACATACCCTCAAACACCTCCATCCTTATTGGTCCAAGACATAACAAAAATTAGATAAATTTTCTACTGTGATATTAAAGGATTAATCATGCTCATTTTTCAACCCAACCCAAAATACTGCATTCTAAAATTATTTTTGCAACTCAGTGTTTAGAACAACATTCTTTGTTTGCCTGAGATTTCAACTTGCCATGTTAAGACAGTAAACGACACTTGAGGAAAGGCAGTGTTTATATGATGCAAAAACATTATTAGGTTTTGAAGTATAAAAATGCTAGAAATAGCATCAACACAACCTCTTAAAGGTTGAAACACCTGCTCCAACGTGGCAGTACTCCTACAGGGATAAGGCAAGATAATTTTAAAACGCTATTTATTGAAACATACTGAATTGGTTCTTTTCCTTTTCCAACAGTCAGGATTTAAACGTTTCTGTTCTTCAGCCAAAGCCTTTGCTTCTAATGTGTACATCCTTCTCTCTTCATTCTTCATTTTCTTCCACCTGTCACCAAGGATCACACTTATGGCTCTGTAAAATAAATATTTCACAATGCTGAAGGCACACATTTTTCATAAATCTCATGTCAAGTGCTGCTACATCAGGAGAAAAATGTGAAGTTAAAAAAAGAAGATGAAAATCTTATCATAGAGATGGGAAAAAGTCAAGGCCATAATACTCATTTCCAGTAAAATCCCAAGTAATACAGTCCATTGTTCCGTATCAGCAGCATAAAGTATTCAATGTGTACTAAAAGCTAATCTTACTATTTGTGCCTGTAACCTATTAAATAGTTTTGATAAAGGCCTTTTTTCATTCATACAACCATAGTGAAAGTGTGGAATTAACTATGCATGCCTAACTGTTTCTCTCTTAAGAGAAAACCAAGTAAATAAAACTTCAGACAGTATTATTACTTGAGAAAACTAGATAAACTCAGAATGGTAATAAACTGATAAAATACTTCATGACAAAAATTAGAAGTTATTTTCCTATTTATATTCGTTACCCTACTATGAAACATACTAAAACAGTCTCACCCAGGGCACACAGATATAAACCACCTTCCTTCTATGAAGAGCTCTTAACCATTCACTTCGTGACACCCATGTAAGACCTAGGTCATAGAAATTTTGCACAAAGCACATCAAGTGATTTTATACTAATATGGAAGCCAAAGCAACAGGCATCTGCGCCTTCGACAGTAACCGCAGAAGCTCTCCTACAAGTCTGTATTTCTCTTTTTATCCAGTAAGTTAATGCAGTTAAACACTGTGCTGCCTTTTCCTTTATTATAAACCAATTTTTGGGCTGGACATTGTGACTCATGCCTGTAATCCCAACACTTCGGGAGGCCAAGGCAGGCAGATCACTTGAGGCCACGAGTTCAAGACCAGCCTGGCCAATGTGGTGAAACCCCGTCTCTACTGTTAGCCAGGTGTGGTGCCACACGCCTGTAATCACAGCTACTGGGGAGGCTGAAGCACCAGAATCGCTGGAACCCGGGAGGCAGAGGTTGCAGTGAGCCGAGATTCCACAACTGCACTCCAGCCTGGGCAACTGAGACACTGTCTCAAAAATAAAAACATAAAAACCAATTTTTATATTCCATTTGCAGAACTCATTTAAAAAACTAACAGTCTTTGGGTTAAAGGTACTGTATAATGGTTGACATACTGGAACAAATCAGTAACTATTCACACCATCTCAGTCATCCACAGTAACAAAGAATGTGAGATATTTTTGAAGGGATGGCACTTGGGAAACAAATTTATTAAGTTAAAAGATGATAGGTAATGAAATGTACACAATGCTATAGACTATATTCCCTAACAATTGTAAAATATACATAGCTAAAGATTATTTCTGCAGTGAATTTACATCCAAATTGACATTTATAGCAACTTAAAATGAGATACATGTCTCTCTGACCTAGTCTCCACTCTCTCAGAATTTGCCTCCAAATGAGCATTTCTTTATTCATTGAATTAAGACACAGCTTTATTAGAGATAGATAGGGAAAAATTCTATTTGAAAATTATATATGATTTATCCCATTCAGTTTAAAGATGACAGGTACATCTGATGGCCCTCAATGTTAGATGATTACCAACGTATCACATGGGAACAACGCCAAAATGCAAAAAAAAAAACAAAAAAAAAAACCAGATTTGGTCAGGCACTGTGGCTCACATCTGTAATCCCAGCACTTTGGGAGTGCTAAGAGTTGGGCGGATCACCTGAGGTCGGAGTTTGAGACCAGCATGGCCAACATGACGAAACCCTGTCTCTACTAAAAATACAAAAAAATTAGCCAGGTGCAGTGGTGGGCACCTGTAGTCCCAGCTACTTGGGAGGCTGAAGCAGGAGAAATCGCTTGAACCTGGAAGGCAGAGGTTGCAGTAAGCTGAGATCACACCACTGGACTCCAGCCTGGGTGACAGAGTGAGACTCCATCTCAAAAAAAAAAAGTGTCAGTCAACCTAACAAAGAGTTGAATAAAAACTATTCAAGAATAAGTTTACTTAACTATTCCACAGATACTATGAATTGCATTGAAGTATTATTTATTATAACCAGAATTATCACTATTTTTACCTGTTATCTTTCCCTGGATACATCTGAGTATATTCAACTCTGTATTTTTTGGCAAAAAGCATGAAGGCATTCATTGGTCTTTTGCACTTATTAGGAGAAGTGGCACTCACAGTCCCTGAGCTGTGGTTTTTGACAGCTTTAGCATACAAAGAATTGGAAGAGAGCTGTGATGATCCAGGTGAGCCACAGTTTTTACTGAATCCAGATCTTGCAAAGTCTTGACCACCAGGTCCTCCACAAGACAAAGATGCACGACGCTGACGAGCCATACTACTTAACACATAAACTGCCGAAGAATCCATAGGTGTGAAGTCATAGCTATAAAATTTTTAAAAAAAATTAATAAGATTTTAATTCCATTTAGAATTATCTGATTTCTAAAAGCAGGATTGTTAAAAAAAAAAAAAATCTTTTAACGTCTGATTGGAAATTTCAGTGCATTTCCCCAAGTATCATGTTACCAACACTAACAACTTTTGCCGCTGATAGTTGCTTATAAAATGAAATCTGTGTATGTGCTAAAATTAATTTTATAAAACCTTTGCAGATAATACAAAAGCTTAAAAAAAGACTGAACCCCCAAAGGAATGTGATAATCAGCACACTTTATTCATACCAAGTAACTCCTCCAAATACTATACAGCTTACTTATTCTTACTTTAAATTCATTTCCGGGCAAATTTGACAATATAATTTCTTGGCCTATAGGAACTCAGATCTAGAAAATTAAAACAGAGTGGCAGGCAACATACCAGGACTAAGGACTAAACAACTACAGAAAACAAAAGGTTGGGAAAGGGCAGTCAAAAGCTGTTAAATCCGGCTAAAGGAACATAAGGCCCGGCATGGTGGCTCACGCCTATAATCCCAACAGTTTGGGTGGCAGAGGGCAGGTGGATCACCTGAGGTCAGGAGTTTAAGACCAGCCTGCACAACACAGTAAAACCCCATCTCTACTAAAAATACAAAAATCAGTTGGGCGCAGTGGCTGGCTGAGGCAGGAGAACTGTTTGAACCCAGGAGACAGATCGCACAACTGCACTCCAGCTTGGGTGACTGACAGAGTGAGACTGCATCTCAAAAAAAAAAAAAAAAAAAATCAGTAAAATAAAGGAACTTAAAATGTCCAGTAATCTGGGTCATTTTTTTTTTTTTTAAGACGGAGTTTCACTCATGTTACCCAGGCTAGAGTGCAATGGCGCGATCTCGGCTCACCGCAACCTCCGCCTCCTGGGTTCAGGCAATTCTCCTGCCTCAGCCTCCTGAGTAGCTGGGATTACAGGCACGCCCCACCATGCCCAGCTAATTTTTTTGTACTTTTAGTAGAGACGGGGTTTCACCATGTTGACCAGGATGGTCTCGATCTCTTGACCTCGTGATCCACCCGCCTCGGCCTCCCAAAGTGCTGGGATTACAGGCTTGAGCCACCGCGCCCAGCCTGGGTCATTTGTTTAGGTAAACAGAGCCATACATTCATCAGTCTTCTGAAAGGCCATCCATACACTGTAACACAGCCTAATAACAGAGTTTGTTGTAAAAAAAAAAAAAAAAAAAAAAAACAACTGTCAGAAAAGGCTACCTTTTGTTCTGTATATTCAGTTTACATAGACGTGGAAATAAGCTATCCATACTATCCTCTCAGCTCCTCAACAGGCCTGCTTCAAGGGCATCATTCTCCCATCTTTCATATGAAGAAACAAGCTACGACAGGTAAGGTATTATTCACCCAGGGCCACACTGCTAGGATCCAAACCCAAATCTGTCCACCTTCAAAGCCCCAGGTTTCCTTACCAATAAATACTATGGCACCTCACTAAACTCAAGGTGAAGAAATAACTGAAAATATTAGTTGAAAAAGAGCTAATGCAGACCACAACCTAAAGATACACCAAATCAAAAGAATTCTCTTTTGTTCCAGCATTAACTCTATGTCTGCCTATAGTATTTTTCTATCTTCTTGGCAGGAAACCTTTCACTCACCTTCTAATCTGACCCTAGCTCCTTCCCTGAAAACAGAAATTCCGATAATACATCAAAATAGGTTAACATTAGCTACAGGAATACCAATTGCCTAAAGGTAAAACTTGCGATTACGAAATTCTAAAGATACATGGAAACAGCCAAATGAATAAGGGTGGTCCATGCCACTGACTACACACAGTAAATCTACCAATTATCAAGCACACAAATGTCTTTTTTCTCAAAGTACTGCATGAAGTAAATGTACTTAAAAACTATGACTCCAAAATTATCTAAAGAATGCTTAGCAACCAGTATTATGTCAGGAAAACAATATCTGCTTTCTAGGTTTGCAGCTTTTGTAAGCTATCTTAAGCCCCTCCCATACATAATTTAGAAAAATAGCAAACTTCAAGCACTGACATAAAATTACTCATCTCTAGTAATGGAAAATGATTACAGTTTAAAATACCAAAAGATACAGGGTAAGCTAATTACTAAAATTTGAAAACTCCACCATCTAGTGGCACAAATATAACTATCATCTACTTCCATTATGGATACAACTTAAATCAGTTTGAAATATTCAATCACAAAATTCAATGACTAAGTTATTACTGCAGCATTAATGATACAGAATATCTTTAAAAATAGCTTCATGTTTTGCTATATAGTACCTTAGGTTAAGCATTCATTCTCTTCATTAAAGCACCTGTACCCAAATGTGCCTTTCACATCTACTTTGTGTACATGCCATTCCTTAAGCTTAGAATGCCCCTTCCCACTTCACTGTCTAATCATTAGTCTTAATGGAATGGCAAACTCCACAATAATGTAGTGCCTATTAACCATGTCACATATATTAATTTAATCCTTCCAATATTACCCCATTTTACAGATTTTTTGTTTAAAAAGAGCCATAGAAATACTAATTTACTGAGGTTCCATAGCAAATCAACTGCAGAGCTAGGATTTGAATCCAGGCAGTTGAGATCGAGCTCACGTTCCTAACAGGCTACACTGCCTCTCAATCAGCATGTACGTTTACTGTATACATTTACCAATCCATTCCTTCTCTAGACTGGAAGTAGAGGCATGCCTATTCTTAACTCATTTTTAATCAATTCTGAATAACATAATAATGGAAAATTTTGAGTTCAAATCCCAGCTAGTAATAGAACCTTGGGCAAGTAAGTTAAATAAACCCTGTAGCCTCAGTTTACTTATCTGTGAAATAAATCTATGCTATGCAGTGGTGCAAAAAGGAACAATAAATGTAAGACCCAGGGCAGAGGCTGGCACAGTGTATTACACCATCAGGAGTATCTATTATTGTTGAAGTATCTTAGGTGAGTAGCTAGAGTACTAAATATGGTATCTTTGCAAGACATGGGCTTGAATCCTAATTCTGACACTAAACTGCCTTTGTTTTGGGCATGTTCCTTAACATCTCTCAACTTTACTTCTCTCTCTATAAAATGAAGATATCATCTACTAATAGTGTAATTAATATTAAATAAGTTAATATTATATACATAGTAGGCACTCCGTAAGTTTGTTAAATCATCAAATTACTTGAACAGAAAAGTCAACCTCAAAAAGTCAAAACTGACTTGTTTTAAACTTGCTTGAGGCCTGGAAGGTTGGCCTCAATTCTCAGTATTTCAGAACAAGCTGCTTACAACAGAACCTTGAATTGTGTATGAGAGCACATCAACTTATTGCTTACTTCTGATTCTTCCTGAGCTAGAAACTACTCACATGCACTCTGTAAATCATGACCTGAGAGTCTGCTTGGAGCAGTCCCTCTTGGACTTTTTCTTCTTCTTACCTCTTTCTCTTCTTGCCCTCCCTGAGGCCAGGCATCATCTCCCTTTACCAATCCAATCCACAATAAAAATATAGTCACTTTCAGCTTCTCAGTTTTTTCCTGGTTTCTCCATGATGATACTCCCCATTTCCACTCATTTGCAGAATGGGTGTTACTGCTGTTATATTGCAGTCACTCAACAGTAAAATAAGTCCAATGACTAAAGTCATCTTAGGGGTGATTATTATTCAGTGGGATCAAATAAGAATTTGCTATCTCAGAAAAACAACATTTAGGCAGGCAAGTTTTATCTTCTGCTTTAAAAAAGTCGTCTTGAGCCGGGCGCGGTGGCTCACGCCTGTAATCCCAGCACTTTGGGAGGCCGAGGCGGGTGGATCACAAGGTCAAGAGATCAAGACCATCCTGGTCAACATGGTGAAACCCCGTCTCTACTAAAAATACAAAAAATTAGCTGGGCATGGTGGTGCGTGCCTGTAATCCCAGCTACTCAGGAGGCTGAGGCAGGAGAATTGCCTGAACCCAGGAGGCGGAGGTTGCGGTGAGCCGAGATCGCGCCATTGCACTCCAGCCTGGGAAAAAAAGAGCAAAACCCCGTCTCAAAAAAAAAAAAAAAAAAAAAAAGTCGTCTTGGTATGCAATAATATATAAAAATTACATATATATTTAATGAAGCATACAAATAAGTGAACCCACAATCCAAATTAAGAATATTTCTAGTATCAAAGTTTCATATTTGCCACTCCCAGAAATAACCACTCTCCTGAATGTTTATCATTCATTTTTTCCATAATTTTATTATGAAAATATTACTCATAAACACAACATATAAGTACCATAGTAGTGTTATATTATCTTTCTTAATATTTAAGGTACAATATTTCACTATGCAGAAATGACTGCTATCCTTTCAAAAGTCTGCTTACAAGCTTGGCCCTTGACTAATACCTATAACTTGGGATTCTGAGGAGTCCCATCATGCCCACAACTGAGAAGAGTAGCTTACTGTGCCTAAACTGGATATACAAACAACACAATTTACTCTAAATGCCTACTTTCCTTTTGGAAGTTTGGATTTTGTTATGTGGCAGGCAGAAGAAACCTATGTGACCAGCTGCACCTAACAGGCCTCACTGGGAGATGACATTTCATATATGTTGTCACAGTTCACTGCTGAAGGAATAAAACATGCCCCTAATTCCACTGGGAGAGGATCCCTGGAAGCCTGGCTTCCTCCATACTTAACCCCACATCTTCTCCCTCTCCTGATTTTGCTTTGTATTAACATCTTTTTGCCATAATAAATCATAGCCATGAGCACAACTATGTGCTGAGTCTTGTGAATTCTCTAAGCAAATCATCAAACCTGGGGGCTAGTCTTTCGGGACCCCCGACATATTTCATGTATATTACGTACCATATGTAAGGGTTATTTTATTTGATATATTTCTAAGGAACATGATTCCAGAAAACAGAATATACTGCATATTTCTAAGACTTATTTTTACTTAACATTTTTAAAAAATTGATCCATGTTTTAAAGTGTATAGCCAAGGTTCATTCATTTTGCACTAATTCCACTGTATGATTATGTCACAATTCATGGAGTCACTCTCCAGTTAAAAAGTATTAATACTGTTTCTACATTTTTGCTATCATGAGCAATACGGCTACAAATTTATTTGCACATCTCCTTAAGCATGACTACAAGAATTTACTTCTCAAGGATATATATAAAAGAGGAATGAAATTGCTGATATTCACCTCTACAAGATAAAGCCAAATTATTTTCCATAATTTTTCTATCAGGTTACAGTTGCACCAAAACATAGGTATTATCACTGATCTACATATCCTAAGTATCAGTACTTAAAATTTTGACTCATTTTTCTAGTTTTTCAAAAGAGTGTAATGAGGGATGTACTCAAACAGCATTAAGAGTATAAGCTTGTAGACATTTATTCAGCATGTGGCTTGTGTCAGGCTCTATGTGATTTGCTTTTTTAATAACAGTTTCACTCATCCTCATAATATATAAAATATATTAAGTTGAAATAAAACCTACAGGCCAGCAGGAATTCTTGAGAATTTTCTACTTAGTGCCCGTACATGCCTATGGATTTGATAAGTATCTTAAAGAAAGAATGAGTCTTTAAATCCCAGGTATCTACACACAAGACTTTCTCTAGGTTCCTTCTAGGAGTAGGGTGACCAATTGTTCCAGTTTGTCTAGGACTGAGGGGTTTCCTGAAAGTTGAACTTTCAGTCCAAAATAGGAAAGTCCCATATAAATGAAAATAGTTGGCCAACCTTCTGGAATCAGTACACATGGGTTCTTGTCCTATTCTGCCACTTACTAGCTATGTGTTCTCAGGAATAACCACTTCCCTCTCTAAGCCTTTCTAAATATCAAGTTTGGGTTAAAATATTGCAACTAGTGCTCTTGGTCATGACTATTAAACAATGATACAGTTAACTATTATATCAAGAAAAATACAGTTAACTACAAAAAACACAAGAGATTTGTAAGCTGTTTAAAAACAACTGGACAGATACCACAACTTTTAAAATGTAACTAGGAAAGCTGAACAATTAAATGCTTTGTCATATAACTTGTGATATTCTTCCTAATCCAATCTTAAATGTTTTAAAAACTCAATTGTCCTATATGACAACTATATGCAAAACTCTCTATTAACTATTATACTTTAATTACCTAATATGTTTTCATTTAATCATACATACTTTCCTCTAAATAATTCTTTTATAATTCTCAAATCTTCAAAGATTGAACTTCCTAAATACCTGATTTAGCAATCATTAAGGAAATGAGGGGTAAACTTTAACGGGGGAAAAAAAAAAAGGAAAGAATTAATCCAATATTACCTTTTAAATGTATCAAAAACACCTGAATCATCAAAATTAATGGCATCGGGGTGTCCAGGAGGTAGACATACATCGCCAATATGAACTTCACAACATGGAATCCCATGCTGTACCACAGTCAAGCTTGGATAAAATGATGACCAACCTAAAGTTAAACAATGTTGCATAAAGGATGAGGACTCACAGAAAGAACCCTTAATTACTTTAGAACAGACATATTATTTCTCTAAGTTAAAAAGTTACTGCTAAGTCCCAAGAGACACTCTAACACAAGTCACATAACTTTACAATAAAGAAGTACTAGATTAAATACTTCCTTTCAGCAACATAAAAACCTTCCAAAACTAGCTTACAATTCAGCATTTCGTTATATATACATGTATCTCCTTTATCGATCAGCACTTCCATCAGTTTACAAGACAGTAAGTGATAAAGATGACTAAGACCATGAAATAGTCTCTGAATTATTAAATTATGTTTAGCATAGTGTTACTGTAATAAGGCTCTGAAGACTGATTCAGGTTTATATCATATTTGGTAACTCTTAATAAAAATGTGATTACTAGATCACTACACATTCCCCAAACTATACCAAGATAATAGAAAGCTTATTACAGTATGCTACATGAACCTAAAAATTTCTCATACTCAAAGGAAATAGAGTTCCACCTGACTACTGCTAAGATACTTAAGCACCATTAGGTATTATTATAAGCATTGTCTATGGTAGTTTTTCATTTAGTTGAAAGACGTTTTCCCCTCAAATTATTTTTTCTTAATCATTAAAGCTGCAGTCATAATTAGAGATTTAAGAAGCTTTGTTTAAAAAAAAATTACTACAAATGCAATTGAAGCCCTACCTTTATTTTTAACATAGAAAGGGTGGTCCAGCTTACACTCTACGGTAAGTAAACCATCTTCTACTGTACCAGGATCAAAAGTCAACTTCAGTACAGACTCGCCAAATGATACACTTTCTTCATGTGATAACAACTTTAGACCATCAGAACCATAGCCCTGAAAATATATGCATAGCATGAATGAATTGGAAATGTTCAATTCAAAACACTGTGAAGTTGCCATTACATGTAAGACTTTGTGGAAAAGGTAAAAGTAACCAAGATGGGATCATCCCTACTGTTTAAGAGCTCTTAACCCAGTAGTGAAGAAAGACAGATATATATATATATAACTAGACTGGAATAAGCCCTTTCACTCAAGTATAAATAATGGTGTTGCAGTTTAATAAAGAGTTATTAATTCCAAAAGAGCGAGATTAAGAAGGGATTTTCAATTCCAACTGGAACTGAGATTTAAAAGAAGAATGCAACTGAGAAAGATAGAAGGACGTGCCTTGCACCAAGAAATTTTTAATTAACACCTTCTCTGAGAAGTGCTGGGTATTTGCTAAAAATACAAAGTGAGTTCAGATATGGGGCAAATAAAGCTAATAAAGAGAGGCCAGTTAACTAACAGGCTCTTAAAGGCAGGCAAAGTAATTACACTTTTCCCTAAGAAGGTATTGGGAAATCAAAGTGTTTTTATCCGTATGACTGTCAATGTTTAAGATGATGGTAAGTAAGAAGACTCTACAGAAGAGATCTCATATTCAATTACTTGAGGATATGAGAGAGATCCATTATAGATCTGAACTGACAAATGCAATGGTAACAGAACCAGACTAATTTAAATTCAATGAATATTGAGCATTTAACACATGCCACATGAGAGAATCTGAAAATACAAACATTAACAAACATGATCCTTACCCTTACATTCATAGAAAAATGGAGACAAACATGCCAAAAGCTAGCTAGAGTATCCAATCATAATTACACTAATACATGAACATGGTAATGAATAAGAAAGAAGGATGACTTAAGTCTTTATAGAATTAGAATCAAATGACTATAAGTAAAGGGAAGAAATGGAATAGTAAAAGACAACTTCATGATTTTGAATATGGTAATCAAGAAGGATGATCACAGTAACTTTAAAAGAATAGGTGAAAAGCCAAGAAGAGGACCAAAAAGGTGAGGGCAGTTTTAGTCACACTAAGTTTCGTTCAAATAACTGATTGATATTCATGTAGAAATGTCTAACATGCAGCTGAAAATGAACAGGTGAAGGCTACAGACATAGACTGGCAAATAAGGAAATTACAAAATCTTCTAATTCTCAGGGATACAGGAGACCTTAAAACTAATGTAATCCAATCCCATTTTTGGGAAGCCAATATTCAGAGGGGTTAACAATCTGCCTAAGATCAGTAACACAGATAATTGCTGGAGGAGCTGTAAAGTGAGTCCAGGTTTCCTGACTTCAGGTCCAGAGTGCTTTCCACAGGACATGATGGAGGTGCTGCTGACACCATCTGGAGAGAGGAACTGGTGAACAAAGTGAAGAGGGGCAGAATCTTGTATAATATTCAGCATTAGGGGCAGACGAGTATCCAGCATAAAAGACTGGGAATCAGGATGCTGCCATGCTACACAAATCAAGGGAACATAATATCAGGAACTAACCCAATGTGTCAAATGTTGTATAGATGTCAAACAGAACAAACAAAGTCTCTTGTCCTAGAAATCAGAATAAAGGTAGTAACCTTTGAGACAATTTTAGTAGAGCAGTAAAGGCCAAAGTTAGACTACTGTGAACTTCACTAACATGAAGAGTAACAGTAAGGGGAGGACACTGAAGGCAGCCAAGACAAGACAGTTTTTCCCAAGAGACTTAATAGTGAGACACGGCAGGATCAAAAACAGAATATATTTAAGCACACTTCACATGCCCATTTTCTTGCCTACAGAAGACATGCAGAAATTAAAGATTTCAAGTGAAAGGTATCAACTTTATCCTAATACTGCTCACTACTGCTTTTGCTTATCAACTTAGAAAATGCTAGTTTTAAGTAACTTAATATAACTTATATAAAGTAACTTAATATAATTGGCTGTCAATAATCTATAGGGGAATTAATCACTTTGTAGATAACCTAAGGCCAGGCTATGATTAGTTTATTTCTTCATTACATGTTTTTGATACCAGTTTTCCCCAATCTAAAGTGTATAAAACACAAAGAAGCAGTTAAGAAATACACTATTTCCCATCCAAGAAAGCATGGTAGTAAAGTCAGCCTAAAATCACTGCTCCTCCCCATCAGACTAAGCAGTGAGTAGTCACAAAAATGCTCTACCTAAAATGTAAGATGTCATATGAATATGAAAGTAAATGGAGAATATTTCTGTAGATTAATAATAAATCTTGTTTCATGTTGAAAGATTTTAAGAAATTTAAATCAACCTTGTGAACGCCCATTTGAAGATCTTCCTCATTATCACAGCCTTCAGCTCTAGCAAAATCTTCAACATCTTGCCATTCCTTATTGCTTCCCTTATGAAAGCACAGTCGTGTGCCTACGGTTTAGGTAGAAAAAAAAATATTAGACGTGTGTCTGTGCAACACAAGTAAGCTGTAAAAAATACAAGTTTTTTGTTTTGTTTTTACCTTTCAAAAAACAGTGCCAGACAGTTGAAGGCCAGGAATTGCACCATCCCAAATCATCATCATCTGACAGGGAGGACATGCAGAAAATGCCAGATTCTGACTCACTATTTGCCTATGGAGAAAAATATTATCAACTTTCATTTGTTTTCAAATATATCTCTTAATACCTGTTTTTATCCAAGTCTTTAGGCCCATGCTTATAGGTGGATAACTTCATAATTCTAAAGTTAGGAACAATACAGTGCGTTCAAAAACTGAAGTTTTTGTCAGGCTCTGGGATAATTTGCTAAAAAAACAAAAAAGTACGCACACACACACAAAGTTTTTGGAAGCTTTAGTTATATGCACATTCCCATTCATAATAAACTTTCTTAACAGATAATAGAGCTGTCTATAAAATCAAATCCAGATCACTAACAGACCAGTGAGACTTACTATTTCCTAGGGGGAAAGTTAATGTATTTCAACTGTTGTGCCAATTTTGTAAACTTTAATCTCACAAATAAACTTACCCTTTCATGTCTTACTGGTGTTTCCTCCTTCCAGTGGTGATGAGGGAAGGCTGGCTCACTCTTCGAAGAAGAGGACACTGGTGGAGGGCGTGCATAGGAATGTAAACTTTTGCTAGTGGCTATGATGTGTACAGGAGATGATCTAAAATAAAGCAACAGTTTCAACCATAAGCATAGGTCCTTAAAGTAGATCTTTCCTGTTGATGAAAGAACTTCATATTTAAAATGGTAATGTTATTACACTGAACACAATCATGGTAAACACTAGTAAATACAGTAAGATTTCATAATTGTAGTCCTTAATTCCTTATCCAAACCCTCCTCACACATTTTAGACATCATTTTTTCAGATTTGATAATATAAATTGTGACTGTTTCATTTATGTATCCCATTCATTTTTCCATCAATATATATATACATGTGTATATTTCATTTGTGAATGATATACCCCTTTATGGAGGGCTCCATATCCATTTCTTTCTTCTACTTTGATGTACTCAGTAAGTCTCAGCATGAAGCATGCAAGCTTAATGTAACCAATGCTGAACTTTTTATATGCCAACCACATATCATCAGTGGGCAGATACAAAGAATTACCTTAAGCAAAAATGCTTAAACGTTTTAGACCAGAAAGCAGCCTATCTGCCCTCCATGTAAATGGACATTCTTGTTTTCTAATACAAATTTGCTGAAAAGCAACTAAATATAAGGTCTAGTTATCTTTTCCCCACAAGGATCACCTTAGAAAAACACTTCATCGCTTCCCCTCTCTTCTCCTCCTCAAAAGTCTCTTTACCAGGCAATGCTCCCTGTAGATTATATGGAGCTCCCGGGAGCATACCCCGATCCTTCCCTCACGAACAGACCAGATATTCATGTGTAGGGTAAAACAAGCCTATAAAGGATGATTAATGATGTGTATGGACTCAGCAGTCTCGAAAGGAGGCAGAGAGGAAGACAGTCAGGTGGAGGAGGGAAAACCATCTGAAACTCAGGTCCCAAATCAGGATAATTGCCTGAGATGCCAAATAGAGATCTGGTCCTTAACAGAAAAAGTTTATGCATGTCTCTACTAATACTCTTTTTAAAAAGGGCAGGAGAGACATCGTTCCAATTTTTCCCTTATTTCCTGAGAAATTTTATTAGCCTTTCAATGTCTACTTTATCCTCATTAACATTTCTTCATTTTACCTTTCCAGAAATTACTTTTAAATAAGGATCTATACTTTGCTTCCATTTTCTTATCACTCCTTAAATAAAAAGGACCTCAGGTTTCCATGCATTTTAGCATACTCTCCAATCAATTTTGGATTTCAAATTATATGCTGAATGTTTCATCTTTTGCCCCAAAACTGCCCATCCTGTTATTACACATTTAAACATATATTAAGTATTAGAGTGGCTAAACTGCTAAAGATTCCTTTTGTTCATCGCTGACTTCATGACCAATTTTTAAAAGTTTTATCAGTTCTTCTGTTTAACCATTTAAAACAGAAGTAACGAAAAGTAAAAATAAACAAAAAGGAAGGAACAATGTAATATGCTAAAATGTATATGGCCTAAACATTGTGTGAAAATTAACATGCCAAACATGTCTGAACACTAACAGCATCAGTTTCTTCATCCCTCTGTCTATGCAGGGGTAATATAAATTTTACCTGTCCTCAACTCGTTAACTATACAGTTAAGACTTCAGATATCCAAAGCTCAGTAACACAGTTTAACATCCAACAAGAAGTTGCATGAGCAGACAGTGTTAGGAGGCAGGCCAGACAGCAGAGCATTACTCAAAATGCTGGATGGAATAATACATCCTCAGAGAGATACTCCCTTCCTTGTATCTTATGTCTTTATTTACACTGATTTTCTTCCAAAGGGTTTACTCACTTTCCATGAACTATATTACTAGTCCTATGATTCTGCTATAAAAAGTGAAAAAAAAAAAACTATTATCGCTAGAGAAATAAAAAAAACTAATAGTTAAATCAGATTTGTTGTTTTAAAAAATATAAATCATTTTTAGTTTTTTGACTATTAAGATTATAATGAAAACTAGGACTATAAAGGAAATAACTCTGAAAGCAAGTTTTATTTCCTGTGGAAATGAACACAAAATTAAACTGAAATTAGCTAAATTGAATTTGCTCTAGTAAAGATCAATATCCTGCTAAATATAAGAAAAGCAGGACCCGGGATCCAAGATGGCTGTTTAGGAACACCTCAGGATTGCAGCTCCCAGTCAAAGTGCAGAGGCTGCTGCAAGTGATCCCCAGGCAAGCAGGGCCTGGAGTGGACCTCAGCAGACCTACAGCAGAGGGCCCAGACTGTCAGAAGGAAAACCAAGGAACAGAAATAACCTCATCATCAACAAACAGAACGTCCACTCAGAGACCCAATCTGAAAGCCAGCAACTACAAAGACGACAGGTGGATAAATCCAAAAAGATGGGAAGAAACCAGCGCAAAAAGGATGAAAACACCCGAAACCAGAACACCTCTCCTCCTAAAAGGGATCACAACTCCTCGCCAGCAAGGGAACAAGGTTGGATGGAGAACGAGTGTGATGAAATGACAGAATCAGACTTCAGAAGGTGGGTAGTAAGAAACTTCTATGAACTAAAAGAACATGTTCTAACCCAATGCAAAGAAGCTAAGAACCTTGAAAAAAGATTTGACGAAATGCTAATGAGAATGGACAAAATAGAAAGGAATATAAGTGAATTGATGGAGCTGAAAAACACAACACGAGAACTTTGCGAAGCATGCACAAGTATCAACAGCCGAATTGACCAAGCAGAAGAAAGGATATCAGAGGTCGAAGATCAACTCAATGAAATAAAACGGGAAGGCAAGACTGGAGAAAAAAGGGTAAAAAGGAATGAACAAAGTCTCCAAGAAATGTGGGACTATGTGAAAAGACCTAATTTACATTTGATAGGTGTACCTGAATGCGACGAAGAGAATGAATCCAAGCTGGAAAATACTCTTCAGGATATTATCCAGGAAAACTTCCCCAACCTAGCAAGGCAGGCAAACATTCAAGTCCAGGAAATACAGAGAACACCACAAAGATATTCGTCAAGAAGAGCAACCCCAAGGCACATAATCTCAGATTCACCAGGGTTGAAATGAAGGAGAAAATACTGAGGGCAGCCAGAGAGAAAGGTCGGGTTACCCACAAAGGGAAGCCCATCAGACTCATAGCAGATCTCTCAGCAGAAACCCTACAAGCCAGAAGAGAGTGGGGGCCAATATTCAACATCCTTAAAAAAAGAACTTTCAACCCAGAATCTCCTATCCAGCCAAACTAAGCTTCATAAGTGAAGGAAAAATAAAATCCTTTGTGAATATGCAAGTACTCAGAGATTTCGTCACCACCAGGCCAGCTTTACAAGAGTTCCTGAAAGAGGCTCTACACATATAAAGGAACAACCAGTACCAGCCACTCCAAAAACATGCCAAATGGTAAAGAGAATCAACACAATGAAGAATCTGCATCAACTAATGGGCAAAACAGCCAGCTAGCACCAAAATGGCAGTATCAAATTCACACATAACAATATTAACCCTAAATGTAAATGGACTAAATGCCCCAATCAAAAGACACAGACTGGCAAATTGGATAAAAATCCAAAACCCATCAGTGTGCTGTATCCAGGAAACCCATCTCACATGCAAGGATACACAAAGGCTCAAAATAAAGGGATGGGGGAAGATTTACCAAGCAAATGGAGAGCAAAAAAAAAGCAGGAGTTGCAATTCTCATCTCTGATAAATTAAGACTTTAAAGCAACAAACATCAAAAGAGACAAAGAAGGACATTACATAATGGTAAAAGGATCAGTGCAACAAGAAGAGCTAACGATCCTAAATATATATGCACCCAATACAGGAGCACCCAGATACATAAGGCAAGCTCTTAATGACTTACAGGGAGACTTAAGACTCCCACACAATTATAATGGAGACTTTAACACCCCATTGTCAATATTAGATCAACGAAACAGAAAATTAACAAGGATATCCAGGACCTGAACTCAGACCTGGACCAAGCAAACCTAACTGACACTTAGAGAACTCTCCACCCCAAATCCACAGAATATACATTCTTCTCAGCACCACATCACACCTACTCTAAAATGACCACATAATTGGGAGTAAATCACTCCTCAGTAAATGCAAAAGAACGGAAATCGTAACAGTCTCTCAGACCACAGTGCAATCAAGTTAGAACTCAGAATTCAAAAACTAACCCATAACCACACAGCTTCATGCAAACTGAACAACTTGCTCTTGAATGTTGACTGGATAAACAATGAAATGAAGACAGAAATAAAGATGTTCTTCGAAACCAACAAGAATGAAGACACAACATACCAGAATCTCTGGGACACATTTAAAGCAGTCTCTAGAGGAAAATATATAGCAATAAGTGCCCACATGAGAAGCATGGAGAGATCAAAAATTGACACCCTATCGTCAAAATTGAAAGAGCTGGAGGTGTAAGATCAAAAAAACCCAAAGTCTAGCAGAAGACAAGAAATAGCTAAGATGAGAGCAGAACTGAAGGAGATAGACACACAAAAAACCCTTCAAAAAATCAGTAAATCCACGAGCTGGTTTTTTAAAGATCAACAAAATAGACCACTAGGCAGATTAATAAAAAAGAAAAAAGAGAATAACCAAATTGATGCAATAAAAAACGATAAAGGGGATATCACCACAGATTCCACAGAAATTCAAACCATCATCAGAGATTATTACAAACAACTCTAT